AAGTCCTGCATATAGCAAAGTCTCCTGATATTTAAAGCTTTACTCCCCTATCATTTGTCTGTGCCTGCCTTAGACAGTTTATCTTATCTTTGATATTTATGACTCTGATCACAACACTGTTCAGGTGTAGTCTTCTGTGCCTTTATCCTACTTGGAGTCCGCTGAGTTTTTGAATCTAAAATTGTAAGCCTGAGTGAGTTAGAGAACATTTCCATCAATTGTTCTTTAAATATTTCTCCCTTGTCCAGTTCTTCCTAAGCTTATCTTCTCAGGCCACAAATCCATATATATGTGACCTTTCAATATTTCTGCTCGGATTACTGAAACTCAGATAATTTTAATATAATTTTAATCTTTTTAAAATTGTTTATTTATTTGGTACAGGGTCTCACTGCTTATCTCAGATTCATAGTGGTCCTCCTGTCTCAGCCTCCCCAGTGCTGGGATTACAGGTGTGCGCCACCACGCCCAGTTTCTGGGGCCCGCTAGGTGCAAGGCTGGTTGTGGCATGCAGTAATGGGGATCGAACTCTGGTCCTTGCACTCACCAGGCAACCCAGATATCCCCCCCAGCCTCTCGTTTTTTAGATTATAGAAGAAATATACATTATATTTCTTTTATCATTTACAACTTGTTGCTAATACTATTCACAAAATTATAAAATGACAGTATTCCTGCAGAATTCCTATTTCATTCTGTGCTATGGTTTCTATTTCACTGATGAAGCTTGCTGTCTCATTCATGCAAATGTGTTTTCTTTCACATCCTTCAATACGATCGTAATAACATCTCTAAAGCGCTGATCTTCTGATTCTGATATCTGGGTTTCATCATGTTTTGTCTCCAGTAATTGCCTTTTTCCTTTTATGTGTGTTACATGTTCTTTTCTCTTCACAGTTCCAGTACATTCTGGTTGTCCTGGATATTGTGAATGTCATACTGTATCGTTTTAGGAGGGAGGGGCCTGAGGAGAAGCCAATTCTAGTGGCAATCTTTGTTCTCTTCTTTCAGTCTTTGTTGAGATTCTTGAACTCTTTTAACTCTGTGCATTCTCCAGTGAAGTATCTGCCAGAGAAGTGGGCAGATTTCATGCCTGGACTTTGGGGAATTTCCGTTCTGGAGTCTCTCTTTTCTGGGACTTAATTTCCCTCACTTTGCAGTTGATATCATTGTCCCATATTCTATCTTCTGATTTTGAGGGTTGATAAGACCATTACTCAATTTTCTTTATTTTTTTCTACTTTCTATTAGAGTTTTGGAATACTGCCAACTGGATCCTGCATTTAGATTAAAAGGCTTTAATTTTTTTTTAATAAAGGAAACTTACACAGTATAAATTCTTTCTTCCAGTTGTTGAAATCTGCTCCACTGTTTGCCTGCTCTTGTTCACCATTTAGTAGGTAGGAGTTTTAAAAGTATTTTATCTAGAGTTTGTACTCACCAATGGGGAGATCGGCTCCTGTGGTGCTGCTCAGGTATTGTGAGGAGCTGAAGTAGACATTGTGCCTTATACCTAAAAGGAATCTTTACATGCTGGAGATTTTCTTCATATGTTACAACATCCACATTGCATCATTGTGAATTCACTTCCAAGGATTTCTAATGCTTCCTTATAGTTATTTTTTTATTAGTGGATATTTTTTCTGAATAACTTCTGATTTTGAAATGCTAAATTGATTTTTATATTTACTTATTTATTTATTTATTTATTTATTTTTTTTATTTTGCCCAACCGGGGATTAAACTCATTGTGAATTCACTTCCAAGGATTTCTAATGCTTCCTTATAGTTATTTTTTTATTAGTGGATATTTTTTCTGAATAACTTCTGATTTTGAAATGCTAAATTGATTTTTATATTTACTTATTTATTTATGTATTTATTTATTTTTTTTATTTTGCCCAACCGGGGATTAAACTCAGGCCCTTGTGACTGCCAGGCAAGCGCTTATTCTACTGAGCTATCTCCCCAGCCCTGAAATGCTAAATTTTAGTGTGGTCATTTTTCTGTGTTATCCTATTGCACAAGATAGAAGAGTTATATCATTTTCTATTTCATAATTAAGTGCAACTCATCAGGAAATTATGATTATTATGTGTTAAGTAGGGATGTTCAGTATGTAAATAGGTCTCTTTCATTCTTAAATGGTTCTTCCTTTAAAACTGCAATTTCTCTCACCACATATCTTACATATTACCCAGGATTTCTGGGATACAGATGGTGCATCTTGTTCCCTGTGAAAGGGATTTTCATTCATTTCCTTCTTTTCATGTTACCCTAGAATTTCAATAATTTGTCAGAAGTTAAGGGAGGATGGTATATTTTTAGCTTTGGGTCTTGAGTAAAACAATACAGTCTTAAAAATGATTTTTAACAAAAATGTAAAGATACGTGAAGTGATCATTTAGAGCCTTAATCTTTTTGTGTTTAATGTGTGGTTTGAAACTGCAATTGTTTGTGTGCTTGGCCAGCTGAACTGTGTGATGATGCCCTGGTCCTGGCATCTGGTTAGGTCATCAGGAAGTCTGAGTGACCTGGACATCAAAGATAACACGTTTCTGTGGGACCCCCATTTAGGGCTCTGCACCAGAACACCTGCATATGGCACCTCACCTAGCTTGGGCTTGTCACGGTGTAGGGCTAGGTTTCAAGAGGGAATGTTCTAGGAACAGATACATCCCACAAGATAGGGAGCAGATGGGATGGGGGAAGCAGTATTGCAAGAGACGCCTCAAAATTAGGATGGTGTCACTTTGGTCCTGTTTTTTTGGTCAAAAAGTCCATGTGCCTTCATCTTTCTAATTCCCATCTTGTGAATTTTAAGTAAACACACTTGTATCAAAGAGATTATGTCTGTATAACTTTCACTTTCTTCATTAATTCAACTAACTCTGCTTATTTGTTCTCAGTCTTATTCATTCTTAGGTTAACAACACTAGTTTCAAAAGTAATACAATCCTGTTTTCTAAATATTTACTCTTAGGCAAACCATCATCTGCATTACTTTATTTTCTCAATTTACCTAACTTTATAAATAATTTTTGGAATAATTGAGGTGGTTTAGGTGCTGTCAGTAAATCTCTTACTATAATGTCAAGGAAGACAGTTCCTATTGACAAGGGGACATCCAGCTTCCCTAAGAAGCACTCAATTAGATGGAAAACAGATGCTTATTTTTGTCTTATAAACCTCAATGCAGGTTATGTGGTAATTACTTCAAAGAGCAGGGTAACAATTTATATAATCAGCAGGACCCTATAATTACCAACGCATAATTTCTAAACAGCATTTAGCAAAATGAGGCCCACGCATACACTTTGTAATGGAAAAGATGTGTTTGACACCATGCTAAATTAAATTAAAAATTTGCATATTTTCTTTCAGGAAATGCACTACATTCCCTCTATTTTGGTTGATTAATCTTTGCCTACTTTGAGCCCCATTAAAGGATCACAGAAATGCTGAATCACTATGATAACTGCATAGGGAAATAAGGACTAAGAGTGAAACACTTCCCTCTCGGTTGTCTAGGATGGTAGAGCATCATTCTGAGAAGTGATTTGGAAAGTTAAAGCTAGCTAGCTCATTTCTGCTGAGATCTTGACAGTAAAATGGTATGACTTGAGCCATAGCAAGCAGTTGGCAGTAGGAGTAGGAAAGTTTTCATCCAGTTAGTCCCTGTGCAATGTCAAAACGATTCTATTATGGTAGACAGATCGTAAAGAGCTAGCATCAGACAAGCCACAGACTCCATTTACTGCAAGGGTGGTGCATATTCCTGGTATTTTAAAATTTATGTGGATGTTCACATCATTACTTTTCTTATTTTTCAGATCATACACAAATTGAGAGTATCTTCTGGAGTTCATTTAAGCTCTGTACATATTAAGAGAATTAAATGCTAGTTACTTGCATTCACTTTCTGTAAGGCTATTGATAAAATCATTAAGGAACTCTTACCTAAAATTCTGGAAGTCACATCAAGAGGCTTACCAGTCTCCTCCTCAGAGCTCTGGACCTGAGATCAACATATGTCTCATTAGAAATATTTTCATAATAAATGCACTTTTTGAACAGATATGTAATACTTACTGGACACTAATAAGAATAAGAATGATTAACATGAGTTCTTGAACTCAAATAGTTTATGGTCTTCTGAAAGGAAATAACAAGGACCAGGCATCCATGATACAGAATCAAAGAAATGAAGGAGTCCAGGAGAAGGACCTATCACTTCATGTGGAAAGGTAAATGGATCTTCTTGGAAGATGTGCATTTGAACTAAGTTTAATAGCAATATTGTGCTAGAATTTGTGTTGCTAAAGAATATTAACTAGGGCCTGGGGTATAGCTCAGCTGCATAAGCATTTGCTTGACCAATGTAAAGTTCTAAGTTTGATTCTTGATGCAAAAAAAAAAAGAATATTAAAATTACATGCAGAAGGCAAGTTCATTATGGTTTGCTAAACTTAGGGAGAGCAATTCAGTCATCACATTGTGCTCAGACAATCACAGAAAATTAAATTTCCACATTAATAAAATACAATTTAGTTCTCATTTCTTTAGAAATTAAAAAGCAATTATCTTAATGAGAATAAAGCTATTGTTAAAACAAAACAATAACTATTACTTTTAAAGTAGTAAAGAAACTTACTTCAGAAATGTATCACATAGAAAGTTTTTAAAAATAAGAAAACAGTTCCCATTAACATTATAGAATGTTTCTTTATTCTGCATATAGTTAAATAGCCAAATTTTGACATAAAAATTTGGAAGGGGAACTCTTCTCTCACATCATGAAATTTTTTTCAAAGTATCTTCTTTGACAGCCAAGCAATAGACCGTATTTTCAAGGTACATTAATTTATTTAACAATTTTCTCACTGTTGGAAAGTTCTGAAAATTCTGTAATTATAGAAAAAATGCTGACCATCCAGCAGAAAAGTATAAAAACAAGGTGTAAAAAGTAAAGCCATATTAATACGCTGAGCTGTAAAAGGCTCAAGTCAACAACTTCTGACACTGCCAGTCATGTGGATAACTCACTACTATTATAGACTACTGGACTATATTGGATTTACTTTGATGAATTCATGCACCTACAATATATGAGCAGCAATAGAATACCCATCTCTGGCAAAAGTAAGTAAAAAAGGGGGGTATAAATGAAGGACCATTTTGTAGTGAAAAAAATACATACATATGTATATACAAGATAAATAGCATAGATATACAGCTACTTTGTCTTAATTCAATGAGAAGAAAGTTTTGAACTAATAGTGTTTAGACAAGATATCATGTCTGCTTCTTGTACTATGAATAACTACTACAAAGACAACAATATGCAATGTATTGATTATTGTAACTGTCATACTAACATGTTTTGAAACTGTCTCATTGTTACTTCTTTCTCAATAAAATTAATATAAAAAGCAACCATTTTAAGTTTTTACTCTTGTTTTAAAATTCTGTACCATATGTATTGTTGTATGTTAGTCTGTTTCTGTCTTTGTTCTTACTATTGGTTTCTGCTTTTGTTTTTGTTTTTACTCTTTAAAATAAAATTTAAAAAAAAAACCAAAATGCTGAGGTGAGTACCATTGCACATGCATCTATTCCTCCTATACACCGTATTTATTTGGAATTGATGTTTGTTTCATTTGGAACTGTTTATTTGGAATTTATATTGAACACTGAATCAAAAAATGTAAACATTCTAAAATTTTGGCACATACGATCCCAAATGACCTTTAACACAGGAATAAACTGAGAGCACTCAGCAAGGTAATAAGAGAGTTGGCTGCCCCAATTTTCAACCCCTCATCTCTTGCCTTTGAGAACATTACCCCACATTTGTACTTCGACCTATTCTTAGGTTTTGGTAGCTCAGCCCAGGTTGCATCCCATACATTTTCAGGTGTAACTCAGAAAGCCCTTTGTCTGTAGTCATTAGAGTGAAGAGAAATATAGTTATTATAATTTGTGTATTAAAAATAAAAATCCCCCAATTTTTTTTAAAAAAATTGTTCTTTGACATAAATACTCAGTAGATATTTGTTGAAAGAGTTAGACTGCATTAAAGCTATGAAATTATTAATATAGTTAAAGGACAGCATCAAAGGAAAAATAGGTTAGTATGTGGGACTTCAAAGTTCAACTCTGTTTTTGGTATTTCTTTAATATTTTCTTGGATTTGTGTGTGTGAAAATGTATGTATATGTAAGGCAATGGCAGCTCTAAGACCAATGTAAAAGAGACTACTGAAATTCTTTGTTGCAAAATATACCTATTGAAGATATTACACTCTCAACATGGAGGAAATATTTGTTTCACTCAATATCCATGAATGAGTAAAAGAAGCTTGGGTAGACTGCATCTTGAACAGGAGCTGATGCCAGGTTTAATATTTATTTTTCAATGGCAAATCTAAAAAAATCTAATTATAAGAAATGAAAAATGTGTGAAATGAACAGATTTTCATGGCATTTAAATTATGATCCAATGTACATAAATAACTAGTTAACAGAATTCTCACTATGATTGGCCAGATTTTGCCTCTAGATCAATTGATGATGCTTCCCTTGATCCCACTAAAGGCTGCCTTTGGCAATATTTGACTCACTTCTTAACACTGATTCCAACAAAATTGCACATAGATTTCTAATGCAAAAATTACTATATTTTTGCATTTAGTTTTTCCCTAGTGAAATTGAATCAGCTCTTATCTTTTAGAATTCCCAGACATAATAAATTAATGCTTGTGTATAATCATAATCTTCATCCCTTCCTTCTACTTATATAAAAGAATACAGTCCTACAGAAGTCATATATGGCAGCTTTAATCATCTTGTGAAATAATCTCAATTGAAATCTTCATCAGATGTAGAATATTTCAAAGTGCAGAAGTGACTCCAAGTTTTCATCTAAATGTTCTACAGGGCTTTTAGATAATTTAGATGAAGTGGGTGGAATGTGCAGATTTACTCTTGGTTTGTAATTATTCCTTTGTAACTCAAGTACATAATAAGTTGTCAACAAGCTAACTCCAGATCTTGGTTTCCATTAAGAACAGAGACATTAGTAGCAATGTGTCTATATGCATATTGGTGGGGGGAAAGTGCTGTGCAGGAGAGGTGGAGGTGTCTTCAAATGAGAGTGAAAATTGGTATGAATGACAGTGGGGATGAAAGAGCAAGAGGATGGGAGGGAAATGGGGTCACCTGTATGAGTATAAATATGGGTGAATCAACTGAAATACTAAGACCCTAAAATCAAAATCAACCCAAAGTTCCTATGGCTTCGTCTAAGGTGTAGTAGGCATCATGGGTCAAATATTTGTAAGGGATATTTTCTGGTCTTGAGGCTGCTGAGGATTTAGTGAGGAGAGGCCACTAATACATCTCTCCTGCCAAGGGTCTGAAGACACAGAGGAGGAACTACCTAGGCAAGCTTCATGGAGTTGGAAGAAGCTGAACTAACCTTTAAAGGAGCTGAAACATAAAATATTTGACTCAAAGCAATACTGCTGAGGTGCATCTTGAAACACTGAGTAAAAGCAAAGTCAGAAAGGACTCCTGGATTCCACTGTGAGCAAGAAAAGGAAAACAAATAGAGAAAGCTGATCTCACACTAGTGCATTTCTGACTGAACCAACTAGAATGAGCTTAAGTGTCTTGCGCTACACTGGATTTGGGAAAATAACGTAATGCGGAGGCATCAGAAGACAAAGAGGAAGAGCAAAGCCTGGACGGCAAGGACCCCGCGGTGCAGGTTGTGCCCTTTAAGACACTGAGCATCTGAGTGCAACACTGACCTCGTCCATTTCAAAAGAGTCTGGTGCTTTAGCTGCAAATCGAGGCAATTGCTTGAGCTTGTTGGTGTGAATGGAGTTCTCCTTCTGAGTTCCATCTTTGACTGGTTCCTTAGACCCGTGGGAGGGAGGAGCCTGTGTGGCCAGCATGGATGAGCAAGGCCCCTGCTTGCTTAAAGGAGCTCGAAGAAGGTGCCGAGGGATCAAGTCATCAGTGGTTTGGACAGAATGACATTCTGCTAAAGGAGACTGGTGTCTTTGGTTGTGACTGACTGAGGCTGCTGATAGCTCAGCTCCATAGTCCTGGGGTGTTGAGGGAGCGAAGGAAACCCCATCCTTCTTGGTTGACGCTGATGCCTCTGTGTGATAGTCCCTCCTAATTCTCTGTCTCAAAGCTCTCTGAAAAAGTTTACTCACTCTTCTTCGATGCGCTTTGTCCCCACTCACTGAGGTTCTGCTGGTGCTCTGTCCTCCAGCTTTTTCTCTAGCTTCATTTTGCAGGGAGTTAACATCATGCAGCAAAGATGAAAGGGCTCTGGTGACGTGGTCCAGTGCTTCTAGCTGTTGGAAACGGCCTGAGGACCACAAGAAAGGCACAAGCTTTAGGCCAAATCTTTTCCATGAATCTTCACTAATGGGTGCAGTAAAAACTAGAGTTGGCTGATGTGATTTTCAAGAGGGGGGATTTAAACCCTTTAAGGGTTTAAATCGAGTTTTGCTGACTGTGGTGACTCATGTCTGTATTCCAAGTACAGGGGAGGCTGAGGCCGAAGAATTGCTCTGTGTTTGAGGCAAGTCTGGGCTAGAAAGTAAGCTTAAGTCCACTCTGAACTGCACAGTGAAACCCTGTCTCGAAAAGAAAGAAAGAAAAAAAAAAAAAACAGTTTTTCTGTCTTTTTTTCAGAGGATCCTCCTACGTAACAGGAAATTTTTGTGTTATGGGGAGAGCAAACACTTTCAAATTTAGTTGCACAGGTCCATATATGGATTTATTATATATAGATTCCTACATGCTCATAAATTTTATGTGTTAATCTATTTAAAACTATAGACATGTATGAATCTATATACTTATGCATATTAAGCTAAATGTAACAGAATGAGCCCAGCTCTTCCAGTATGAAGTGGCTTAAGATTCTTCTTATAACTTCCTTGGTAGATGTAGATATCTTATGATCACATCTACTCTCTCCAGCACCTGAGGTTGTGGGGGACTGCGATATGTGGCCTAGATCCAAATCCTGTGTCTCCTATCTGTGGATATTTGACCTCAGAGTACATCAATGAATATGTATATAGTAAGTAGTAAGCTCTGTGCTAGGCAGTAAATGCTTATCTTATCTTATCTTATCTTTTTTTCTTTTTGGTACTGGGGACTGAACTTGGGACCTTGTGCTTCCCAGCTGGGCGTTTATGCCACTGAGCTATATCCCTGGCCCCCAGTGCTCAGTTTTTCATCTGGGGAATCATGGCTGTTGTATGTATGTATCAAATCTGATGTCAGCATCAAGACAAAGTTGTAGAAGGACAAGGAATTATACATATCATCTGTGAGCATAATGACTTCACATGTGCAAGATTCAACAAGGGAACATACAGTGTTGTCCTCAGCCTTTCAAAAGTCTGGCCATTAATGTGGAAACCAGTGGTCCTTAAAAACAAAGAAGTTTAAATTGAAAACTTTTCTTGATGATCTGTCCTTAATTTTCATGCAAATTATACAGTTATTGACATGATTAACCTCAGGGAGAGACCTAATGCTTTAAGAGAGACCTAATGGTTTAGTATAGTTAGCCTTGCCAGCTTAAAAAATGATGACATATCTTTGATATCCCAAGATAACAAAGCCACAGAAACAGCAAGTTGTGGGCCTCTCTTCTGTTGCTCGTTAGTTCTGCAATGATGCTAGCTCTGCTCTGAGCAATGTCCTTATGCCTACCTGTTTCCTTCATCTGGAAGGAGGAGATACTGACTAATCACGCTTCCACTCCTAAAAGTGTGGTAGATTTCTCACCAAAGACAGTGCTTGTCCTACAAGATCTATAGGAACCCTTGGGTTTTGCATGTTTCAGAATAATTCTGATCACATTTTCCCTCCCTAGTGAAGCTTTGTCTGAAATAAAATTTCTTTTGTGACCCAGTGGAGATGATCAAATCATAATTTAGCTTTTATGATTGTCTTCTACGCATCTCATAGGGATGTTTATACCTAAATTACGAAAAAGCCTATCAATTTAATTGGTTCAGTCAATTCAGAGAATACAACAGTCTGAAAGCATTGGTAGGATGTTTTATTTTTGCCTTTGGGTAGATTGAATGGACTAATTGATTCTCCTCCACAAGTTTGAACTTTTTTGTATTAACTCTGAATGAGACATAATTATCCATTTTGATCTTTTGAGCAGCCTACTAATTTTGTTATTGCTTATTTTATATCCGACCTTCTCAGTTTGATTCAATCAAAAGTGTACTGGGGAGTGTTAAGCAGTTGAAATTATAGTAGGCCAGGAAATCACAGGACCAGGGACCAGTTCCTAGTTCCTCTATAATCCATGTGTCAATTTCATTTGTAAAGTGTTTACTTCTCAGATCAGCTTGAACACTACTCAAATATTGGTAAGTGTGATTATTCTCCTCGAATAAAGAACTGCTCAAAGCACTTACATTTCTGTGCTGTTTGGGAGAGGAGACAACAAAGAACACCACTGTTTCTGGAGTGGAAGAAACCCTATAATTCACCACCTTCACGAGTTGACGTACCCTTCTTCACAAATTTCATCGCTCAGAGCTTTAGTCCCATTTCATTCACATGAAAATGGAGAAAAGGAAATTAAATGAAAAACCTAAATGAAAAGTCCACTTTTTGTTCTATATAATTATTTGAGAAAAGCACTTTAACCCCCTTGGCTTTCCTTATAGTAAATTTATTTATTTAAAATAATTTATTTCCAAAACAGGTCTTTGTCATGGAAGATGTTCTTTGCTGCTGAAAGAGGGATTCTACATTTCAATCATTTTAAAAATGCTACATTACATCCTCTTTAGGAGACTGAAAGTGTACCTTTGCACACTGAATCAATCTGTTTAACTGCAAGACATATGCCCTCAAATTATTCACATAAAATACATATATTCCAAGAACATCTTTATGTCCTAATGTCCTAGAAAATATCCCAATGTCTTAGAAAAAGGGGATTCTGCTGATCCCTTGCTGGGTAACAGAGCAACATTCACAATAACTGTAAATATTAAGTATAATTATGAATCTGCAGCAATGACAGAATAATATCTATCACCTTTAGCTAACGGTATAAGCTGTATTGGTCTAAGCCTCATAAATGAAAAAGTGAAGGTTTCACTGAGTGATTCATGACAAGCCTTGCCTGACAGCAGTTTTTCTGCCTCCTCGGTCTGTGGCTGCTAGATGTGTTAGCTTCACTCAGCAGTGTCACCAACTTCTTTCCTTCTTGGAAGATGGCAGCTTTGCACATTCCCAGTTCCTGGGCTATGTGGCCACTTGACTTGCCTGGCCAGTGGAACCAAGCAGAGCTGAGATGTGTAAACTATGAAGGACTTAAGAGTTGAGTCCAGTTCTCTCTCCACTCTTTTCTTGTCATGTTCACTAGGGATATTACACACTGCCAGTGTGGGACGAAGGCCTAGAGTGGGGACAATATGGTGCAGATCAGCCCCTCCCCCAAAGACACAAGCCAACCTGCAGCATGCAAGGGGAATAACTGAGAAATCAGAGCTTTCCATTTTAATCTGCCGTGAGAGGCAGTGGCTGCGCACACCCCGAGCTTCCCAACACTGCAGCCTGCTCTTCCATGGCCAAGAGGCTTGTCCTATGGCCCTCACTCACCACACAAGTCAGGGTTCTCCAGGTCCATCCGTTGCTTCTGAGCTTCAAGGAAAACATTTATGTTAATCCCTCGGACTGCTGAGCCACAGCGAAGGAATCTGGCTGGGATTTGTGTGCAGATGTGTGGCTCCTCAGCACCAAACCCAAGGTCCAGGAGAATCTCCACGGGATCTTTTTCCCAAAATTCCAGCCATTCTGGAATGCTGTGATAAAAATAGGAGTATTTTCATCCAATAACAGCTCACTTAATCATAAGCCATTTTTTTCCTAGTCAGCCAATCTCCTGGAAAATGAATGAGAGAAGAACCCGAACAGACAGATGGTGCATTCAGAGCAGATCATATATACTTACTTAAAGGACTGTCAGTTGCCCTACTCAGGGACTGCCTGCCTGTACTTTACATACAAAGCCATGAGTTCATCCATCTGGCTTTTCTTTCCCCTGGTGGGCACGTGTTAGACTACATGGGGCAGGGAGATCGTACAACAGAAGCCGAAGATGGTGCAGTGACAACCACCAACAAGTGGCAATTGATGGCAAGAGAGGGAGCAGAAAAAGCCTGCCACTAGGAGATCCACAGAAGACTATTGTTTTAGTCTGAGTGACTCCTCAGCTACATAAATCTATCAAAGATATTAGAAAATGCAGAATACAAAGGCAGACGCTTACAAATGATTTTGAGTACCTAGGTAGGTTTAAAATACATTCTGTTTGTTGTTTTGGAACTTGGCTATAAAATTTTTTAAAAAATGTTGTCGTAAAATTGCACTGAAAATAGTAAACATCAATTATGTGGAAATTGTATAGATGTATACAAGCCCACTTCCTAATTACTGAACTTCTCCCGGGCTGGAACTTAACAAAACTGTGGCTTCTCTGGGATTTGGAACTTTGGAAGAGGGCTTACCAGGTTTGTTTGTTTTTACTCTTGAAGTTACTGTTTGTCACGGCTTTATGTGAAGCACTGCCAAATTTATTTGAGGAAGTTTAGATAATTTTATTGTCTTGGCTATGGTCTGATGGGTAGGGCCGCACAGCGACACCACCTCCATCAAGTTCACTTTCTAATGCATCTTGGAGATCTGATGCTTTGACTCCTAATTGGAGCAAGGGAGAAATGAGGCCAGGAACCCTTGAGAGAAGGGCACCAAAGCTAACTGCAGGCTGGGGACGCCAGCCTATAATTACACTGACAGACACCTTAGTAGAAGAGAATGTCAATGGAGAAAATGGTATCTCATGAAAATTAAATTGTACATGAAATATTTAACCTCTTATCAGCTTCATCATACAAGTTTTTATTGAGTCCATTTATACAAATATTTATCGAACATCTGCCATGATCCAGCCTCTGTACTAGGCACCCATGACACAAAATGAGAAAAGAAGGTAGTCCTTGCCTTCTACGGGGTATAGTCTTATGGCTAAAAATATGACTATTGATTGGTTTGTTTTCATGCCATGCTGAAAATGTTATGTGCATTTAATTATGTAAGAAATATATAAAGTATACTCATTTTATTTTTAAAATCTGTAATATTTCAAATAAATCTCTCTCCTTTCTTCTGCATACCCTTGCTAATGCTGACCCTTTATTGTTAAATCAATGTGTGGACTTCTGAACATACTTCTACATGGCTACATGCACACTTTCCAGATTTCCCCTTTTTTAATTTATAAATAGTAACAATTTCTTCATCTTGACTTTTTCCCTTTAAAATATAACTTGAAGATTTAATAGGTAGATATATGTTCTGCATAAATTAGGTATATCTTGTAGATTTCTACCTATTTTTTTTTACTGCTGTATGTAAATCTATACAGTGATTGAGCCAAGGGTTCACTTGCCTATTAGACTGTTCCAAATTTCACTGGCTTTTTTATCCTTTATTCATTTTCACATCCATTAAACCCACAAATAGTTCTTAAGTGCTTATTTATAACTTCAAGAAATCCACTGCTGTGCAGATTCGCTTCTCTGAATTAAAACTGACTGGAAATCACCTACCTTTGTGGTACACTTGCGGTAGAACTGCAAGAATTGAAACTGCTCCCTCTTGAGAGGGCAGGAGCTTCTGAAAACTGATGCAGAGATCTACAATGGGAAGGGGGATGCCAAGAGTGAGAGGTGTTAGGTGGAGAATCCCCAGGAAATCACTGCCAATCTTTCCCGTCCAGACCAAACATTTGCATTTCCTTTTAGTTTCTAACGATGCTATAATGGCCACGCCTTTAAAGAAGGGCTTGCAGCTGAGGGGCTGCTCCTCTTTTCAGTGTGTTCTGTTGCAGAAGGTGTGAGAATTTAAGTGTTAGGTGCCCGCTAATTATAAAGGTGACAGAATGTCTCACTGTTGACAGATGGCAAATCATTGGGGGGACCTTTCACGAGCACAGCTTTGCTAGGCTTCAATTTGGGGGAAGAAGTTAAAATTATGTGATGAAAGAAATACAGCTAGCAGCCACTGAAGCAGTTCCACACTAATTCTCTTAACAGAGAAAATTTCAGACTGCATGGCTAATAGTCTCCGAGTGCTGCCCACAGGCCCCCCATGGTCATTTCCTCGCAATAGTCAGAACTCGTTTATTGCTGAACAAATGATCATCACTTGATCCAAAAGGCAGTACTGCAGGTCACTGGAAAACACTTGCAAAGAGATGGAGACTGGAAGGAACTCTATTATAATACAGTTCACTTCTACATAGCTTATCTGTGTCATGAATCACACCTAGCACCCTCAAATATAATAGACAATTGACATAAAATTGAGATGAATCAAAGAATACAGTGCAGATATCAATGTCCCCCATGACATCAAGCTATCGTATTTGGACTGCTAAGTTTGTGTAAGTACTATCCACATTAAGTAAGGATGGATGGACTCCTCCCTTCCCCCCATTTAGTCATATCCTTTTGTTAAATTTGAGAAGAAAACACAAAGTTTTAAAAGTAATCAAGCTTTTTGGGATCCTTGTGTAGAGGCAGAAAACATTCTTTCATTTATTGCCTCATCTAAGTTTATATCCACCCACCATGGCTTAGTTCTCATCTTGGATTTAAAAGGCCTAACTTATTTCGTAATATTCAGCAGCACTACCCAGAAGCAGCCCTGGCCTTGGACTCAGAAGAGTCCATGTGCAGTCACAATCCCAATAAAACCTTGAGAATGTGAGCTTGTCACTGAACTTGGCTCTCAAACGTCCTCTGAGAAACAAAGAGAACTGTATGAGAGATTTTTGTGGTCACTTACAGCTCCATAGTAGCAAACAAAACAATATAAAGCAAAGAAAAAAAAAGAGAGAAAAGAAACAGTCCATTAAGGAGAGAAGCAATGAAAACAGCATCTCAGGTATGAATTAGTAAGAGTAAGAGCGACATAGTGATGAACATTTGGTTTTCAGTTAATTGCAATTATCCAGAAAATGCAAGAAAGGCAGAAATACAGGAAGCTAAGTTCTAAACTTCAAACAGTTCATAGTTTATCTTAAATTAGGCGTACCTCAGAATCATCTGAAGAGTTTTCAAACTGAACTCTGAGCTCTACCTTTGATCTCCCAGTTTAGTACATCTGCAGCAGTTGCTTGAGAATTTGCTTTTTTCTTGGGTTCCCCAAGCTGCTGGTGCTTCAGGGGGCCCACACATTGAGAGCCAGTCTCTCCTCATATTGAGAGAGTCAAGCTTTCTAACTTTGCAAATTATATGTATTATTTTTCTGTAAACAACATGATGATCACTAACTTTGGTAACACGAAAACATGAATGTAACTGTTTTATGAATGGGTCCTTATGAACAGTTGCATTGTAGTAGAAAGCCATTTATTTATTGGTTCTAATAAAGTCTTCCCCTAATTTAGCATTATTTGAATTAATTTGCCACCCCTATATAACATCTAAGGAACCTCTGTCTCTCTAATCTAATGAAATATTATAGGCATTGATGTTAAATCAGTGACCTTGCATTAGATCCCAAGATCTAAGGTATTATTAATGCATAGTTCTACTTCATGTATCAAGATATGGCTATAAAACATTGGAGTGAAATCACTCTGGTTCTACTACCTACCTCATGTAGTCTTTCACAGTCATTTGAACCATTCCTTGTTCATGCAAAGAAACTGCAACAACAAAGAGGCAGAGGTGAACTTCAGTTTTGTTTTGTCTCATGGAAGGTTTGTCTTCTTCAAGTTAGCCAACATTGAACTGAATTTCCATTTCCAAGGTTGTAGAAGCATGAAATACAAGGTGTCTCTGTGGTGAGCAGGACAGTGTAATGGATGGCTAAGTGGTGTAACAAGCACTTGAGATGTTCTTGCCCCACAGAGAGGGAAGTCAATGAAGGGAGGTGTCGGTGAAGTTTTCATGGAGGAAATGATATTTGTTCAGGAGTCTGAAGAATGGGAAGAATTTCATGAATGGGTAGGAGGTATTCCTATCAGAGATGAGAAAAAGCAATGTCAGTGGTAAGTGTGATGCATAGTGCTGGGGCTGGTGCAATAGAAGCATGCTCAGGGGCCCTACATAAGGCCCACTGAGGAGCAGTGATGGATACAAACAAAAGGAGATATGGAAGATGCAACACTTAGTGAGTCATTTTCCTTTATTTTTATCATCTAATCCTTCTAATATCCTTATAATTGAGGACTTAGCCTCATTTCTCCGATAAGGAAAGTGAGACACAGAAACTTAGAAATGAGCTCCTCATACACAGCTGATAAATACAGCTGATAAAGACATCCAGTACTGTTGAACATAATGGCAAGGCCATATATTTAGTTGTAACCTTGCACAAGGCAATGTGTTAAGCACATTACATGCATGATCTCTTAAATCTCACAAAAAAGATGAAATGGAAAATATTAGTTCTCATTTAAGAGGGCAGCAAATTGAAGCTCAGTGAAATGAGAGAAATTTCTCATGGCCAGTAAGATGCCACAGCTTATGTTAGTTTGCTGTTGTTTTGTTGCTTTTTAAAACATGACACTGCCAGCAGAATGTCTTGTAGTTTGTGTGAAAGACAGAAAAAGGAATTTCATGTTTGTGTCAAGTTAAAGTTTTTGTGCTGAGGTTTTCCATCAAGGAACTAAACAGGAGAGAAAAGGGGCCTAAGGCCCATTTGCCTGGTGGAAGTGCTGGAGACAGAATATCTGAGAACATGCACAAGGTGGAGGTCTCAGGGCCCAATTTAGGGCCCACGCAGTATTTAGACATTGTGTCATGGAGTAACGTGGCTAACAGCCACAAATTTCCCAGAAGGCTCAGCAGTCTTATCATTTTCTTTTCCTTGTGGTTCTCCTGGGTATAGACCTGTAGTTTGTATAAAATCTGAAAGTTTTTTGTCATGTTGTGCTTATCCAAGAGCATAAAATTTTTTTTTCATAAGAAAGGTTGGGGAGAAATTCTAGATACACAAATTTGAGCAACTGAATTGTGAAAAAAATATTGAAACCAATAAATCATCATATCTGGGAGTTCAGGATGCCTGTCTGGGTAGAGAATGTATGACTAGACCTCAAGTTATCTAGGGGGTCATGGAGATAGCTCTGCAGTCTAAGCACTTGCCCAGGTAAGCATGAGGACCTGGGTTCTATCCCCCATTCCACCTGCTGTGCCGGCCTTGCACTGGGCGTGCCAACTCTGCCACCAAGTCCTGGCATGGCAGTGTACGCCTGTAATCCCAGCACTGGGGAGCCTGAAACAGGAGAATCACTCTAAGTCCAAACTGCATGCATAGTGAGACCCTATCCCAAATACATAAAATTAAAACAAAACCCCTCAAGTTATCTAGAATTTTTTCTCTGTGTGAAATCTGGGGACAGAGTTAGGAATATTTATCCTTTTGAACAAATTTCTAAAAGGCTGAATTATTTTGCTAAGAAAAAGGAATACTGGTCTAGAAAGATAAAGGCTGGAGATCTACTAATGAGATGTGAATGAATGCTTATCTAAGACCAGAACATACAACTACAATTTAAAGAAAGGAGGAGAAAACAGGCATACTAATACATGTCTACCCCACTAGTCAGACCCTGTCACCACAAGAGTCAGGGAGGGTGCGGAACATTCATTTATGTCAAGGGCTGAAACACACCATAGTGATACAGATGAAGTCTGTGCTTTACTTTCAAATCTGCTCCCACAACGGACATCTTTAGTCATTTATATCACTTTCTCACTGAGTCCAAATAGTTTCTCAGAATCTTCGGGAAATCCACCAACATCTGATTGGGGTTTTCTCACAATACGATATTTATTTGTCTTTCTTTGCTTAGAATAAATTCACGTGTATTTGAAAAAATTCAGTAATATTGAA